GGCTGAAGTATTATTAAGCATTGTGGTAGTATTTAGAAGCCCAGAATTGAGACAAGTCCCACTGTGTTTTGGCACTGTATAGCACAGAAAGAGACAGCCCTTTACTACCACTACAATTGAAATGGTAATAAAATTAATGTGGATATTTTCAGGATCCATGCCTTAATAACAGTTTGTCCTCTACAGGAGAGATTTTTACTTTCAAAGAAAGTTGGGTACCTATCTGTCCTTGGAGCCTTTGAAAATCTCCCCCAGATAAACTCTTACAGTCCTTACACTCCCTCAGTAACCCCTTGGGGCCAGGACTGTACCCCAACTGTGAAGTTAACAATATGTATAACTCAGTGGTTCTGAATACCTTTAAAATTATTTTCTATTACACAGATAAAAGTTGAGTGAGAAAAACTGCAGGGGGAAGGTATTCATCTGGTTAAGGAGGAGGAAGGAATGGAGGACAATGCTTATAGAAAGCTATAATTTATTTCCAGATCAAGTCCTTTTTGCACTACTCCAGTGGTGCAAAGGGGATTTAAATCTGCCCTAATGGGATCATTAGGGCAGTATTCCCTTGATGGGATTAGAAGGAAACCACCTGGTTGCCTAGTTACTTATATACCACCTGCTCTCCCATGGGACAAGGGGACGATGGGGACAAGGCCACATGAAGGAACCACAATGCAATGATGATGTCTGTGTTGCTCTTTACATTACAAAATATCAATACCAGACAGATTAATAAGACTGGGAATTTTCTGCTTGGAAAAGAGATGACTATGGGGGATATGATAGAGGTCTATAAAATCATGACTGGCGTGGAGAAAGTAAATAAGGAAGAGTTATTTACTCCTCATAAAACAAGAACTAGGGGTCACCAAATTAAATTAATAGGCAGCAAGTTTAAAACAAGCAAAAGGAAGTATTTCTTCGCACAACCTGTGGAACTCTTTGCCAGAAAATGTGGTGAAGGCCAAGACTATAACAGGGTTCTGAAAAGACCTAGATAAATTCATGGAGGATAGGTCCATCAATGGCTATTAGCCAGGATGGGCAGGGATGGTATCCCTAGCCTCTGTTTGCCAGAAGCTGGGAATGGGAGACAGGGAACGGATCACTTGATGATTACCTGTTCTGTTCATTCCTGGGTAAGGCTGCGTGTCTGTCATGGAGGTCACGGAGTCCATGACTTTCTGCGACCTCCGTGACTTCTGCAGCAGCCAGTGCGGCTAGCTCCGGGGCTGCTCAAACAGATCAGGCAGCCCCGGGGCCAGCCGCACCAGCCGCTGCTGGGGAAGTTTGCGTGTGGAAGGGGACACAGGGCTGGGGCAGAGGGTTGGGGTGTGGTCTCCCCAGAAGTGGCAGGCATGACTCTGCAGCTCACAGGTGCCACCCCACAGCTCCCCTGGGTCTCCCCAGAAGCAGCAGGCATGACCCTGCAGGGGGGCCAAAGGGCTTTGAGCGCTGCCTCTGCCCACAGGTGCCACCCCCACAGCTCCCATTGGCTATAGTTCACGGCCAATGGGAGTTGTGGAGCCAGATCTTGTGGCAGGGGCAGTGCGCAGAGCCCCCTTGGCCTTCCGTCCCCCTAGGAGCTACAGGGACATGAGGAGCTGGGTAGGGAATCCGCCAGCCCCACCACTCCTCCCACATCCCCTCCCCCCCCCCCAGCACCAGCAAGGGACCCGGGCCACCCCACCCCATCCCCCGAGCACCAGTGGGGGTCCCCGGCCACGCACAGCCACCTGGCCCCTCCTCTCAGCACCAGCGGAGGTCCCGGGCCACCCCCCAACACCCACAGTGCCCCGAGTGCCGCCCCAGAGCGCCGCCCCAGAGCACGTATAGCCCCCCAGACCAAGTTTTAGTTAGGCATATATAATACAAGTCATGGACAAGTCATGGCCCATGAATTTTTGTTTACTGTCCATGACCTGTCCATGACTTTTACTAAAAATACCCGTGAGTAAAACACAGTCTCACCTCTGGGGCACCTGGCATCGGCCACTGTCGAAAGACAGTATCCTGGGCTAGATGGACCTCTCGTCTGACCGAGTATGGCCATTCGTATGTTACCATTGGTTTAAAAAAGTACTATGTGAAACGTTATACCCATATCTTATAGTCTAGTCAAGAATATAGACTAGGTTTGCTTTCAGGATACAGCTAATCAAATAAATGCTTGTTTCCATTCAAATGTTAACATTAAAAACACTGGAAAAAACACCTTCAAAAGGATACAATTTTAAATAGTGCACAAGCACTTTTGGCTGCACCTGATTTAAACAATGTAAACTGAACTATAATGTTCCTCTCTAAACCCAGATTTTCATGCACAAATAATTCTCTGTATGCGCAAAGCAGGGGTTGTACACTGTCATAGATACAGGGCTAGCCAGGATCCTTCTCTGGATCCTCCAAGTGCACCCCTCCAGATGACAGGGCCCCTGCCTTTGCCTCCCTCAGGGTGGAATCTCACAATTCGCCCACTCTTGTACAGGATTCCCAGGCTGCAGCCTCCTGCTTATTTCCTGTGATTACTCAGCAGGCCTGACTCCTGGTTTCTCCTTTGGGACTATGACCAGCTGTTAACATGCAGTGCCCAGGCAGCCTTCTCCAAAACAAGTATTGCTTACTGATCAATAGTAGGAACAGTTTTGCACAAGAGTGGAGTTTTATGTACTGTGCAGTACATACACACATCTAGCTTAGTCTTGCTCTCCTTCTCTCCCTCTCTCCACAATCCTCCATAGCAGCCATGAAGGCCAAGTTAGCCAGATCCACCCACAAGATCTGTCTCTCTAGCAGGTCACTTTTTAACTGTTTAGTGTCCATTTGATCTTTAGGTTCCAGCCTTGGCAGGACATAGGGGTAACTGTAAGTGGGCCATTTACAGTTAATTGCTCAGCCTTGTTTGTTGGAGAAGTAGTTTAGCTGCACCCATTGTCTGGCATTCTTGGTTGTTTTTTCTAACCCTCTGCTCTTTAAAGTGAACTAACCTAAGTATCTAGTTTCCACTCCGCCAATATAGCTACTTCCCCTACCCCCAACTGGACCATCACAGAAAATATATAGTACTTTAGGGCTATCGATTAATTGCAGTTAACTCACACAATTAACTCAAAAAAATTAATCGCCATTAATCACAGTTTTAATTGCACTGTTAAACAATAGAATACGAATTGAAATTTATTAAATAGTTGAGATGTTTTTCTACATTTTCATATACATTGATTTCAATTACAAGTGTATATTATTTTTATTACAAATATTTGTACTGTAAAAATGATAGAATAGTATTTTTCAATTCACCTCATACGAGTACTGTAGTGCAATCTCTTTGTTGTGAAAGTACAATTTACAAATGCAGATTTTTGTTACATAACTGTACTCAAAAACAAAACAATGTAAAACTTCAGAGCCTACAAGTCCACTCAGTCCTACTTCTTATTCTGCCAATTACTAAGACAAAAAAGTTTGTTTACATTTACAGGAGATAATGCTGCCCTCTTATTTACAGTGTCAACAGAAAGTGAGAACGGGCATTTGCATGGCATTTTTGTAGTTGGCACTGCAAGGTATTTACGTGCCAGATATGCTGAACAATCATATGGCCCTTCATGCTTTGGCCACCATTCCAGAGGACAGTCTTCCATGCTGAGGACACTCGTTAAAAAAAAAAAAAAAAAAGTGTTAATTAAATTTGTGACTGAACTCCTTGGGGGAGAATTGTATGTCCCCTGCTCTGTTTTACCTGCATTCTGCCATATATTTCATGTTATAGCAGTCTCGGAGGATAACCCAGCACATGCTCATTTTAAGAACACTTTCACTGTAGATTTCACAAAATGCAAAGAAGGTACCAATTTGAGATTGGTGAGATTTCTAACCGACCCAAGGTTTAAGAATCTGAAGTGCCTTCCAAAATCTGAGAGGGACGAGGTGTGGAGCATGCTTTCAGAAGTCTTAAAAGAGCAACACTCAGATGCAATTACAGAACCCAAACCACCAAAAAAGAAAAAATAATCTTCTGCTGGTGGGATCTGACTCAGATGATTAAAATGAACATGCATTGGTCTGCACTGCTTTGGATTGTTATGGAGCAGAACCAGTCATCAGCATGGATGCATGTCCACTGGAATGGAGGTTGAAGCATGAAGGGACATGAATCTTTAGCGCATCTAGCACATCAATATTTTGTGACGCTGGCTACAACAGTGCTATGTGAACACCTGTTCTCACTTTCAGGTGACATTGTAAACAAGAAGCAGGCAGCATTAGCTCCTGAAAATGTAAACAAACTGGTTTGTCCTAGTGATTGGCTGAATAAGAAGTAGGACTAGGTGGACTTGCAGGCTCTAAAATTTTACATTGTTTTATTTTTGAATACAGCTATTTTGTACATAATTCTACATTTGTAAGTTCAATTTTCATGATAGAGATTGCACTACAGTACTTGTATTAGGTGAATTGAAAAATACTATTTCTTTTGTTTTTTTTACAGGGCAAATACTTGTAATCAAAAATATAAAGTGAGCACTGTACACTTTTTATTGTGTTGTAATTGAAAAATATATTTGAAAATGTAGAAAACATCCAAAAATATTTAAATAAATGGTATTCTATTGTTTAACAATGTGATCAAAAATAATTTTTTAAATTGCTTGACAGTCCTAATAGTACTCACAGATTAATGCAGAGCAGCTCCATATCCCATACACACCCACTTGCAGTGGAGTTGATGTACATGGAAAGATATAAAAGTCGCTTAATTTGGGAAATTTTGGTAATCAGGGCCCAGATGTAACCTCCTGACACAAGGTCTTACAGAGAGTCAAGCAAGGCTCTGCCACTCAATAAGGATCTGCCAATTGAGTCATCATGACTCTTATAACAGTTTGGATAAATATGATCTCAGATCTTGCCCACCTCTATCAATTTATATTTAAATTCAGGTGTAAAATAGTAAGTAGTCTTAAATGATGTGTTAAGGTTGAGGAACACAATACCAAGAGCATATTTGCAGCTGTCATCCTTGTATCTCCTGAATCATCACAATGTCTTGGAAGCAATTTTTCATAGCTTGTTCTTTACTGTCCTTGCCATTTACATAGACTGAAAACTTATGGAAAGAGAAAAGCACATTAGACTGCTACTTCACTTCTAATGTTTTATCTTCTCATAACAGAAGCTTTGTAGTGTTAGTGGATAATTTCAAAAGGAGCTCATATCACAATCAACACGTAGAAATATAACTATTCCAGAAAGTATCCTAACAGTATAAAATATTTTTATTTATTAGATTTTAAAAATAAGTAAAGGTCATATGATAATTTGACATTTCCAAATCATACTCAACCCTTCAGCTTGATAAATTCTAAATATGAAGATAGCTTTAAATGACTTAATATTGCCTTTATGAGCTAATATTTTAATGTAATTATATAATTCTCTAAGGATCTTAAGCATTGAGCTTATGCAATTCTTCGTCCAATAAACCTTCATATTTTGATAAAAGAATATGCCAATTTAAAAATCTCACTTGTGTCTGAAAATGACCTACCGGACTTCTAAAGACCTAATATTGCAAAAAGTGAAAATTAGAAACACTGAAGAATATTTTTCTATGTTTTGTTCATTAAAGAGCACTCTGCATAAAGTCAATGTTCCTTGTTGCTGCGTTAAGAGACCCCACACAAACAACAAGAAAGAGGAAAACCTTTTAAAAATAGGAAAAAGATGACAAAACAGAATTTGTCAGGAAAACTAAGGGGCACACATAATACATAGGCAGCTGCTGTGTATCACACTGATCTGAATTAAACTCATATTATCTTGTGCTCCTTTATGTATTTCCAACTGTTCTGTCATTTTATGCCTAGGTTGCAAGGTCTTTGGGCCAGGGATTGTCTTTTTATTCCATGTTTGTACAGGCCCTGGCACAATAGGCCGGGGTTCCTTTCGCTATGACCACAATACATAGTAAGTACCTGTAATTTTTTTTTTTAAGAGATTAACTAGATTTCAGGCGGACAGGGGTCCACTTAAATTCATTTGATTTTACTCTGCCCTGAATTTTCAATGTGCATCAGATATTTGTATGGACAACACAAATGGCATTATAGAAAGATTTGGCAGCTGGTAAGAGACAGATGGAAACTTTTTGCAGCCATGAAAGTGTTGGAAACAGTTTGGGATTATGGGACAGGCATAATAGCTGGCTATTTCTGCTAAAATAATCACTGACAATATCAGTGTCATTAGGTTTCAGAGTTAACTGTTCATTGAAAAAATGAGGGCAACTCATACCTTGTTAATGCCATTGTTTTAGATTGGCTGCAGACTCAGAGGACAATACATCTGTTTACATAGCTTCATGTTTGGAAGTATTTCTCCACAGCCATAAGGACCAGGAATGTAGTAGTTTTTTAAATAAATTTTTGACTCTGCCACATAAGACCTGATCATGGATAAGTCACTTAAGCCTAATCTTTCAACTTTTGGCAGACCTGGTTTTCAAAGATGAGTTCATGGTGCATCTGCTGAGTTTAACAGGAACTCTGGATCCTCATCTTCTAAAGATCAGGCCCCAACTCTCTTCAGATGGAACCCTGAAACTGAGACACCTAAAACTAGTTGACATTTTAAAAATGAAGGTGCCAACTCTATGCAGGTGGACTGTGGCACCCATGTGGACTCCACAGGTTTCAGTAGTGTCCCTGCTGGCCCAGAGCTCTGCCTGCCTGGAGCCAATAGGAGGATTAGGCCCTCAGACTGTAATCTCTATGGGTGAAAAATGTGCTGTGTCTACAAGAGGTGCAGCACAAAACTCAACCTCTGTGGGACCTATGGTGGCTTTACGCTACTTCTGACTTCTCCATATTCTGGACTGCTATGGCACCCAGAATAAGTCATACAGCCCTAGAAGACAGCCTAAGTTATAGCAACCAGTTGCCAGCTGCCTATGGGTGGTAGCAGCACCTCAAATCCCCAAAATACTAAGTGCTGTAGCCCTTCCCCCAACACACCCTTCTCCCTGCTAACTCCATGGCACCACACCCCTTGCTGGCACTTGCAGTAGAGGCTTTTTAGAGCTGCACAAGAAGTGTTAAACAAAGCCCAGAATAAGTCACACAGTCCTGGCATTGTGAAGCTTATGTAATTACATGTTTATAAAAAAGTGTAGTGAGATCCTCAGTTTGGGAGCTGCTCTAGACGTTCTGAGTTTTATATGGTATTTATTTTCCTCTTGCAGTCCTTGACATTCAACTATCTTAAAACCATATTCTACACTTACTCTGTAAGCAAAGCTTCCATGATATCAATAAAAGTTTTGCATAAACATTTTTCCCCTTTATGATTGTTCTGTGTTAGTTTTTTAACTACAAGTTTAGCTTCCTAAGGGAAGCCTAAACAAACCCAGGGAAAATGTAATATATACACCCAGACATATTAAAAGCTAATTATATATATATGTAGTACATACTTAGCTTTTCCCCCCTTACACTTTGGACAATTCAAAAACCCATAACTGTTATTTAATACTATAGCCAACAGGAGGTTTTTGCCCACTGGTAGGATTATAACAGCTTGCACTTCATTGTTGAAATATTTGTATACATTTTTTGTTTTGAAAATGACCTATCTAGCATAAAAACAACCATTATTTCAGCTTTGCTAATTCTACTGCCCAAATAAAGAAAAAAAAAAGTGAAACTGAACCACAATATAAACTATAACAGAGAAATTGAAAACCCGTGCATAATACACTGACAAAACAAATTAAATTTAAAAAAATTGTGTTAAAGTTACAAAAGAGAGAATTTGTAAACATCAGGCTTTGGTTAAAAACAATCAAAAGTTTATTTAATTTGAGGTGTATGATTTATTTTGCTTCTTGTTATCAATAATGGCAATGTATCTTCTGAAGGATCTCTTTGCCTCTAATGTTGCATACAAATAACAATGTTTCATTAAACAGTTATCTTTTTCATAGTAAAACCTAAGGGGAAGCAAAGGACATATGCAGTATATCATTCTAAAAATAATTTAATTATTGCAGAAACAGTTATCAGTTCAAAAGAAAAGATATAAAACTTTAAATAAATATTTTTCAAGAACATTACAAGAAAGAGGAGCTAAAAAAAGTAAGTCAGGTATAAATTGAAACATGAAGCATAGCTTAGTTTTTAAAATGTTTTCAAGAATGAGGAAACAGTTTAGAAAATATTTATATTCTGCTAAACTTTTGCAATATATATATGCCTTAATATGCAGAATTTGTAAGATATTGAGACCATACTCAAAGTATTAACAGCATTTAAAAAAAGATGGAATTGTTGACTCTTTTAAAAGTGTAATTTTTAGAAATATAGACTATGTACCAGTCAACGTACCTTCTTCTCAGCGGATAGAAGGGCACATGACTATGTGGTAAGATATGCTGTATTTATACTTATTTACTTCAGTTTCCCTTGTTTTCTGATTTGTCACAGATCCAAAGTAGTATTTTCTTTCAGAAAATCAATCTGATTCAAAAGCATGTATTTCAAGTGATCTGCCCTGCTTCTCAAGGGGAATCAAAATACAGGAACTCCTTGTGAAACCGAAGACACCACCATAATCTAATCAGAAGGCTAAGCACTATGAGGATTGCAATTTAAGTGTCTGTTTCATTTACATTGCCTTCTGAGTGCACCCCTCATAATAAAATCGTGTTCTAGAACTATGGGGAGTGGGGCAGTTTTCAAGTTAAGCTAAAAGATCCTACTTCATTTTCGTTGTGCAGAGCAATGAAATAATCAATGTGTTGGAATTTAAGAACCTCATTTCCCCAACTGGTCCAACCAGGTTGCAGGCAGCGAGCAAACAACTCCAAACATTCCGCATCAGGTTTGATATATTCTGTCAGAATCTCTGTGCAAAAGAAAAAAAAAAGAAACAGATGATGATGAAAAAGGAGAGAAAAAAAATCAATTTCCTCTGAGCTGTTGAGAGATGAAAAAAGGAATGTTGCATAAAAAAAAAAAAAAGGACAGCAAATTAATTTCAAGGATTTCATCAACCAGCTTGACTATTTATAGTCAGAAAGTCATTTGAAATAAGTGCCCTTGAGATTTTGAACAATACTGTCAAAGCCTTCAATAGCCCTGATTTATTGGTTTTCATTTGGAGTCAGGGAATGAGGATTTCACTGCCTACACTGGTGACTTTTCAATTTTTCAATATTGTCATCGTAACATCTCCTGAGTACTGACTTGACTCTCTTTTTAAATACATGGACATTCAAAAAAATATATATAGTTTTCCTTCTTAAAGAGCACTTGCTTCTGATTATTTATTAGGGCTGCAGTACCCCCCACCTTTCGCAACACAAAAAGGATAAAGCAATTCGTGATGATATCCTATAAAAAGGTGAAGGAGAAACACCAGTTCAAGCATCTAGGAGGTAGTTAATACAGAGACTTCTTCATAAAACTAGAACCATTCTATCCTGGAAGCATTAGGAGAAAGATCTATTAAAGTGTTCTTTCCTTTAGTGATACAAATATAATCATATTTCTCCTACAATTTAGTATTTTTTTAAATGTTTAAATCTAAATAAATTGGTATTTTAACAGAAAATATCTATTACTTCACTGATTATGAGGAATATTTGGTAAGGGGGGGCAGGTAAGGTATCTTGATTGATTTTATCTGAAAGGTATTATTTCAAATATTTCTTACATTTTTGAATGGGGTACTTGTCAGACAGATCAATATAGCTTGCTGCTGGGTCAAAGGGATTCTTAATTGTTATGTTTCAGGGAGAAGGTTTAAAGTACAAAAAAAGCTTACTAAGTAAAAGGTTTTAAAAAGTGACACAGTATGTAGGAGTGGGAAAGCCTGAAAAATACCTCTAGAACAAAAATATGTCCCAGCAATGTAATTTTTACTTCTAACTATGACTAACTACAGAATTGAAAAAACTCCCCCTTTCTCAACTTTCCTCAAGAACTCATTCAGAATTTTCACTATTCCTCATGAAACATGAGGTATAGAAAACAGTTCATTATTATATCAGGCATTTTGTTACCTGAACTGATCTCTCCCTCTCACTATCATTTCAGAAAGCAGAAACACATCTAATCAGCATACATCAGAGAAAGGGTGGGAACATTTATGGCTAGAATCCATTGTTTGATTTTCAGGTCAGAGTTGCCCATCAAAGAATTACACTGTTCTATCTCATCTGTTCAAACGCACATCATGAAATGCTCCTGCTGCTGGAAGATGAATATTCTCCCAAAGATCTACTGTGTGGCAATCTTCCCACATGCTTTTTCTACCCAAACATTTTCCCTCCTCTGAAACCCACTTTAAACTCATTCTAATATTGTATTTTAAAAGTTTTTTTCCCCCGTTAAAGTTTCCATACTTCTCACATTTTGGTACAAGAACAGGGCATGTAAACCTGCCCCAACTCTTTTAAAAACAAAAAAACAAAAATTCTGTAGAAAAAAATTCTTATTTTTTTGTAAAAAAAATTTTCTGTAAAAATTCTTATTCATATTGGGTTTTTTTGCCACATAATACTGCTATTACTAATAATCTCATATCGGAAAATCTATTCCTTTTAATAAGCAGGCTAGAAAACCTAATCCAATCTAACATTTGCATAAGCGTCTGGCAGGTTTAGAACAGAATGTGCATTCTGACACCAAGCCTGCTACACTGAACAGTGCTTTTTGATCTCACAAGAATTTCCCTCCCTCCACCTAATTAGACAGTTAGATAGTACTCCTTGAAAAATGTGCCTGTACCATTTTGCAAAGCCATCACCTAACAAAACAAAAAACAAAAAAAGTAAAACCTGTCATTCTTTCCCATGCTTTCTTTAGTTAAGGATTGTTTGTGTACGGATATGCTGCCAGTATTTTAACAAACATCTCCCAAAAAATCTATTCCCCCAATCTAAGAAAGCCCATCTACTAGGGTATGTGCCCTTCCAAAAGAGGGAAACTCTAAAGCCCCACGCTGTCAATAAATTTGCCCTGGGAAGAATTCTGCTCTTTTGACTTCAACAGGGACCAGCGCATGCAGCGCTTATTGAAACATCAGCGCTTTAGTTTCTTTTCCCCATTTAGAAATAAAACCCACTTTTCATAACCAAAAAATCCAAATAAAGGAGACAATACCATTTGACCAACAAGGTTTTATTAAATATAAATTTTGGAGTACTTGTATTTTTTGTGTGTGTGTGTGTGTGTGTGTGTGTGTGTGTGTGTGTGTGTGTGTGTAAAAATGAGAGAGAGAGAGAGAATGAATGAATGAATGAATGAATATTGTTGCCGCAACAGGAAGTCCAGCGGCACTAGTATTACTAATTATTGAGCATCAAAACTTCCATCTTCTGAAAATAATTTTAAAATACCTACTATCTGACACAGCAGAAGGGAGAAATTACTTCTGATAGGGATTACTTAGCTGTAACTAGAGGTGTGACACCAACCTTTCCCTCAATTTTGGTGACAGAATTTAACCAGGGGTTCCTAGGAGTCTCTCCCACTTTCCCTTCCCCTACAGCCCCTAAAGATCCCACTCTAGTACATGATGACTGTGTGCACAGATGCAGCTAGATTATATTTACAATAATTCAAGCTATCACAATATAATGTTTCATAGCTTGGATTGGGTATTTACATAATCACATCAGGAAGTAACCTTCAGTGCAATGAAAATTAGCATATATAGAGGGCAATAACATGGCCATATTTTGTTGGTATAAAATCTAATGCCGCCAGTTTACTTGAACATTAACTTATAGCTTAAAATAGAATGTTATAATAGTATCTTTGTTAGGGTCTTATGACCTTCCTACCTTCACAAGTATATGTTAACATACACTTGGGGACTGATCTTCAGACGTTAAGCAAAACTTTAAGTTTTTCAACTAAGTAAGGACTGAAGGGTCAGGCCTTTGATACCAAAAGATAAAAAATATTATTTTCTCTAACAGCCACACATTAAAAATACTTTTACTTTTTCAGTTCTATTCACTATAAACACAAATGTCACTGAAAATCAATATTATTTTAAACTTAAAAAGCCACTATCAACTTGCACATTTTGGGCCAAGTGTATTTTAGAACAACATTTATTTTAAATAAGAATTCAAAGAAAGGGTCGGTTTTTAAACAAGCAACCATTCCCCTGTAGTGTTTGAAACTCAAATACTGAAGTAGTAGGAACCTAGATAGGAAATGGTCTATATAAATGCTAGTGAAAAAACTTCATTGATTCATGGTCTGAAATGTAAACATAAAACAAACAGTGAAAGGAAATCAAATGACTGAAATTTTCTCATGTTTAGTAATATATTAGGAATATTGTTCACAACATGTGGGCCAGATTATCTGTGCAGGCTGATTTGTGCTTAGCACAGGACCAGAAAAGGGTGGCGAGGGAGTGTTGGAGGTTGGGCAAAGGTGGCATTATGCCACCTAGCCTTTGTCTAAGCCTCCAGTTGGCTGAGTTCCAATTTATGCCTGGCTGCCAACAGCCCCACAGACTATTGCACAGCACGGTACCACATGGGACATAAGGACTCCCTGTACATGCCTTCTTTAATTCCCTCTCAGACATGTCTCTACAACATGGCTCAAGGGGCACAGAGCTGCTACAGGAAGCAGGTTTTCTCTGGGCTTCCAACTGTTTTGCTCTGCTAGAGCAGGGTAAAGTGGCTGGGGCAGACCCAAGAATAAGGCCCAGGATTTTTAAGTGGGCTGTCTCTTCATAATTAATAGCTTCTTTACAAACTGAGGAAGAAATATGAAATCTCAAGAGCCAGTATATGAACCCGTACAGAACAGTTAAAAAAAAAATCACATTATTTGAAATTCAATATTGCTCAGTGTCCTCCATGTAAGAGAGCCACCCTTTACGTATCCTAGCAGCAACAATGAATTGGACTAGAAGGAAAACCTGCTGTTATTTGAATCAAAATCATAAGTGATAAAATTTCATTTTAAAGTATTTGCATAAAGCAGTTTAAGTACATTTATAATGACATATTAAAGCCGTGAGCACTAAACACAGAACATGTATCACCAGAAACCCCTACAGTCATGATTTCATAGTTAAATGCACTGCAGGAACCTGAATGTCTGCTTTTGATGGCTTGCTTTAATTTGCATCTTCCTCTTCCCCCAGAGAAATAAATGGTTATAATCAGTCATTAAATGGCTACATATGTACCAACATAAAACTTTACAATAGTAACAAGAAATCAAGTGCCAGACAGTAGCAATAAATACTAATATTTTTGGCTTTGTTGCTACTTAAACAAAAACACAAAGAATGTGTGTGTGAGTCATCAAGTTTCCTTCTCCCCATCCCCAAACTTCAGCTTCTGTTCATGTTGTTCTAAATAATCTAGGAATGTGGATCAGCTGCTCTCTACTGGCAAATCTAGAATACTGCCTTTGAAAAAACAAAACAAAAAACAAAAAAAACGCAACCACCACCCTGTGTAATACCACTACTAAGAGCATTTGCAACATCTTTAGACAGAAGCAACACCTTTACTCTTTAATTTTTGCTGTTCTAAGAGTAACCTTTACTTATTGAAAATATGCATGTACATTAGAAAAAAAAGTGTAAATCACTGGCCAGATGATCTGTACTCAGTGGCAAATTTCTTCTTTCAGCAATAAAAATGAATAAAGTACAACAGGCATGCAGCAATTCTCCAAAAGAATTTTGGCATGTAATGTACACACATCTACATCAGATATTATGTGAAAGCTTATTTTATTTTAGGAATATGATGTGGAGCTGTCAAGTGGTGCAGTAAGGCTGAAGGACACAGTGAAGCAATGGTATCCAAAATGAGTGTGTCTTTTTTTTGCAGTTCTGGAAACACTACAATATGACTG